AACAGGCGCTCGCGCACAGGGTACATCTACCCGCCTCGAGCCTATCGGACCTATCTCGTGGCAGTCGAGCAAGCAGGAATTAATCGCTCTCTCCTCAGCTGAAGAAGAATATATCGCACTCTGCTCGGCCACCAAGGAAGGATTGTACCTTCGCGAACTCTTGGAGGAAGCGAAGTTGGCTCAGTTACCCAGCTTTACTCTGTTCTGCGACAGCCAGTCGACAATTCGCATAGCCAACAAAAACGGATTTGCGAAAAGGACGAAGCATATCGCCCTGCGATATTTCTTCGTGAAAGACGAGATCGAGAAGGGGAGACTCGAATTATCCTACTGCCCCACGTCCGAGATGGCAATTGATTACTTGACCAGCTCGGAAAGCAGAAGTTCGAGTACTGCATGCTGCTGACTGGACAGAGCCACGTCACCAGCAGCAACACTCCAGAAGCGAAGGGGAGTGTTGGAAACAATTAACTTTAGCGCCTCTGTCGTGTCGAAACACAAAGTCAGAAGCGAAGCGAAACATATCGAAGCATCACCGAGTAAATCCTCGGAGGTTGAGCAACTGCTGGAGGTTACGCGAAAGTCAAAGGTAGGCGACCTTTAACTTGACAAGTACAGCGCGACAGCAAGGACAAACAACTGACTCGCTATTGAGCAGTTGCCCAAGTCGTCACTGTATCGAACCGCAACAGCAACAGCAAAACAATTATTACCGGTAGTCATAACCCTTCGCATTCCCTTGTACTCTTATAAAAGGCTTGTACGGTATCTCTTTGTTTTTAATAAATCTGCTTTGCCCTCACACACCAGCGCAAGGTGGTCCACAACCTTTCATTAAACGCTTCCGCTATTACATTGTCCCACTCATAATTTAGTCCTGCAAAGATCCTACCGTAAGGGCTTTTCTCAGCCCAATAGCGTGATGTTGATGTGGGTTGAGTCGCGGACACCTGGGCAAGTGGATGGGTCGCATACTCCACATCAGCAGGTGTTTGGAAGCAGAGGTGTGTTAGCCGGCAAGATTTCTTGATATGAGGTTTTAGCGAGGCTGCAAACTTACAGGCGAGAAATCCATTCCTGATACGAGGTACCCCTTATATGGGGTCGTAGGAACACGCTCTTAGTATAACGGCCAGCATTTACATAACAAGAAAGAGCAGCAACTGTTTCAATGGCAACATACTATACAGAATAAACCTCAGCCTCTTTGCACCAGAAGCTTTCACATGTCTCCTCACCTTGATCCACAGTCTCCCAGGCCCATCGAGATTAACAACACGGAAAGGAGGACACACAGCACAGTCTTCCCCTTGAAAGACCGTCGTTGAAGCCTCTTCTGAAGTCAGCCTGTGACTTGAATGGACCGACTGGGACTGAAGCCGGCAAAGAGCTGCCACCATGCCTTTCCCATGCATTGCCTTCACTCCTCCATGCCTCCACCATTTTTCAGACTTCTCGCAAGTTCTCCATGCCTCCACCGCACCCAACCCACCAACAGCACTTAACTGACTGGCATTCTTGAGCTGGCATGTGTGAATCTGGCCATCTGGCAAACTAAAAACCTATGGCTCCTCATTCAGCTGCAGCAGAAACAGATCCGTTGATACCACTAAAATCACTGTTACTGTTGCTGTTACCGTGAACATCAATGCTACTGCTGCTGCTGCTGCTGCTGCTGCTGCTGCTGGAGAGATGAGCAACGGCTACCATGAAACCCACGCCCACTGTGACGGCCGCTCCCACCCCCAGCACCTTCCAGATGACGTTCCACCTCCGCCTGTGCGCCCGCATGTGCTCTGAAGGGGGTGAGCAAGGGACAAAGGAGTGCGCCACAGCGGAATGAGACAAGCGAGACAGACATGCAACGAGAAAGGGGAGTTTGAGGCTCCTAAAAAAAACGGCCGCTCTCAACCCCAGCGCCTTCCAGATCAAGTTCCACATCCGACTGTACGCCTCATGAGCTCTGACGGGGGGACAGGAGAAGAGGAACGGGCCAGGGGGGGATGAGACAAGGATTTTATTCATTTGAACAAACGAACATAACAAATCACCCCCACCCCCAGCTCCTTCCAGATTAAGTGCGCAATCATATGCTCTGAAGGGGCGCAAGGGACAGAGAAACGTGCCATAGCGGAATGAGACAACCGAGACAGCCATGCAACGAGACAGGCACGGAAAATGGTGCAGATTTTAAATCGAAACGGAAACATTGCAGACCACAAAATAGGCCGTGTGTACAAGAAAGAATTCAACAAGAGGCAACAACTCGGAACACGAAGGAGGTCGTGTGTTCAATTAGCCACCAGAAGTCGTTTCAGCATGTTCTCCTTCCAAACGGCTTCGTTATTCTTTCGAATCGACACAAGGTCAGCACGAAAGAAGTGGTGTGTTCTTTCAGCTTGTCCTCCTTACCGATGGCTTCGTTATTCTTCTGAGCCATCTCCTGGTTCATCCTCTCCCAGTATTGAAGCTTATCTCGCAACCGCGATACCTCCGCCTCTTTCCGCGCCACCAGATCTGCTTGCTCCAAATCCGAAACCAAATGCTCCTCGCCTCGCTTCATCGCTGCAGCAACCGCTCTCGCCAATGCAGCTTCCACATCCACGCTCCCAGTCGTATCTGCTTCCGCACTGACAATCCCAACCACATTTGTTTCCGCGCCGACGCTCCCACTCGCATCTCCTTCCGTCGGACCGTCTTGCGATCCGTGAGCAGATCTCGACCTGGCATCCTCGTTTCCAGCTTCCTCGATACCAGCCGTCCTGCTATCGCTCCCGCCTTGAGCATCACCAGACCCCGCCGGACTGAGAACAACCAGAGCAGCTTCGTCGAGAGCTTTCTGGGCGGCTGCGACCGCAGCTTGTACGCCATCCAGCCGTTTCGTGCAGGCGGAGAGCGCTTCCTCCGCTTCTGTTCGCCTCCTTGACTCTTCCTGGATTCGCGCGACGAGATCACGGTACGAGGTTCGCCGGCCGCGAGTAGCAGTGGTGGTACTCGTAGGAACGGCTCGGCTGCTGCCGTTGCTGGTAATGCCGGGAGCGTTCTGGAAATCCTCGTCGCTGCTAAGATAATCTGCAGGAATTGGAACGGGATAGTGATCAGATTTGATCAAATTCGACAATGCAATCAGGGAATGGAACAAATTTGCAGATTCGCAAAAACGCAATGCATGCTAACAAGAATGTAGTGCTACACACAAGGTTATTTCTGGTTCACGAAGACTTGGGGCTGCCTTGGCGAACGCAAAAACGCCTCTACAAAACTGATGGTCAGAGCAACGAAGATCGGAGAAAGAAAAGCAGAACACCAACCTTCTAGGCCGTCCTCTGCTGCGTCAAAGAAATCCTCGTTAGAAGATCCAGTCTTGGTGATTTCAGCCGAATGGAAGTCCTCGTCGTCGCTGTCTCCGTGTGGTCGACCGCCATTAGTCAGATGATGGGTATTAGCCACTCCGTTTCCTTGATGACCGTTTCCGCGACCGTTAATGCGGCCGTTCATGCGCGCTGTCGAGGGTTTGACCCGGTAACTGGCTGTTTTCTCCGCTGAAGTTCGCCAGTCCGCCTCGCCTGGACTCATGGGACACACGGCTCCAGCCATGCGCGGGTTCACGCAATCTCAACGGAGTAGCACGCTACCAAGAGAGGAGTATGTCGGCTTGGACAGAGATTACAAGCCTCTAATAATCCACTTCATAAAATCAGCGCGACTATGACTTAACCATGTATTGCGAAGTGCCTGAAAGAACGCAGGGCTTGTCACTGTGTCAGTAAAAGGCGCTGCGCGCAAAGCACTTGCACAAGAGCTACTTGTCCACCTTGAAACGAACACCTGGAGCGAATCTGAATGAGTGACTAATTATCTAACCTGCTTGCTACAGGCCTGGTTTTACTTCTGGCATAGTTTTACCTCTTCCTCCACATTTTTCCCGTTTGATGTGTGGTTTGACCCTCCTGGGATTACAGATTCTGCCTGGGATGACTGGTGACTGGTCCCAAGAAACCACTGCAGCGATGTGGTGAGGTGCAGTTAGATACGTTTCCAAGTGGTTAAAGTAGGGTTTGATGTGGTGCAGTGACTTGATTGACGGATCCCGAGGAAGAGTTGGAGTTGACGAAGTGTGTGCAGTTGCCGAAAGCTTCGCTTCCACGTCAACTCCAACTAGGCGTAGTTTCTACGGTCTCGATTGACCGGTGAAATCAAGATCAGGGGAACGTTGACGTGATGCATTCTGTGCTTCTGCCCCCGGGCAGGCGGAGAGTACTCTCAACTGTATTCGACAATTTCGATCCCAAACGCAGGACAGCCCTGCCCAGAGCAAGTTCTGGCTTGGAGGAAAACTAGTACTTTGCCACATCTACGAACCTCTCAACATTTTTCTGTCCCTTCCCCTTGACTTTTTCCCCCTATGTTTGTACTTGTGCGGTGTGGTCCCCACAAATGAGGGGAACGTTCGTGCCAGCACACTCAATTGAACCAATCTAATGATAGACCATGAAATGGGGGAAGAAAGCCAATTTAGAGCCACTCGTCCCCACACACGTCACAACTACCGCAATCAGATCTGACGGCCTCCACACTTTTGGCGGGCCCGAGGTCCCGGGTTTGGTGGAGAATCGCCACCCAAACAAAGGCATGGAAGATGAAGCATCGACGGCTGGGAATAAATCTTCTTCCAAAGGCTGCGATCTCACCATGTGTCGGCCTTTGAACGGAACTTGCACTCATGCACGTCGTGCGTGACGCACCATTGCCCCTCACCAGCTGCAATGCAATCAACCCACCAATTTTCCAATTTCTGCAATTTCTGCTTGGAATTTCGCGCCGCACTTTTTCAGCCATGGCGTCCCTCACACATCTCTGGAGTCTCGCAATGTTCAACTTAGCCTCCTTATTAGCGAACACGTCTATTAGATCGGTAGACACTCGTACTGGTTGCTCCGTTGTTTTGCGCTTTCCACGTGCCTTTCCGACAGTTCACGATTGTTTTCGAGAAACTCGAAATGGCTTCCGAGCAGTCGCGCAGATCCGGGGCAATGGCCCAGGAGGAGGTGGAGCCTTACATGAAAAAGGAAGATCTAACACATGTGGGCATCGCTATTACCGTTTTTTTCCTGGTGTTCATCCCCTGCTTTTTTAACAACTACCATTGACATGTTTATTTATTTTGTGTTTGCAGAAGCATGCTGATCCCGCAGAGTACGAACAAGAGCAGACTTTGACGCAGAAGGGACAGGAGGTCACGGCGGCGAAAGGCAAGGAAGAACTCCCAGCATCGTAAGGCATTCGTTGATCCCAGCATCACGTGTTCAGCTCACGTCTTCGTAGTCGCCAATGGCGCGTCGTTGCCAACGGAAAACAGGACATACCGGCACTAATTCTTGAGGTTTTGTCTTTATGGTCCTCCAGGCACGAAGACGCGCTGAAGCGCGGCGAGGAAGCTCTTACGAGCACCGAGGATTCCGCCTCGGGCGGCGGTTTTTTTGCGCCGCTGAAGAACCTCGCGTCGCGGTTCATGGGCCACGCGGCTCCAGAAACCGAGGGAGCTTTTCAGACTGGATTGGACATTCCGATCTACACGCAGGATGAGCCGGCCGCTGGTGACGTGTCGACTGACAGCCAGGCTGCACGTGCCGGCCACGTGGACAAAGCGGAGCGTGGATCGACGATCGAATTGGGTCAAGAGGAAGCTGTTGGGGAGTCGCCGCAGCAGGAGAGGGAGCGAAGTGCGGAGATGGCGAAGGAGAGTGCTAAGGAGGAAGCTCGTAAGGCGACCGACGAGGTGAAGGAGCATGCTGCGAGCGGATGGGACGCAGCGAGACGCGGCGTCGCGGAGACTACGGAGTCGATCAAGCAACCAGCGGCGCGCGAGTCGAGTGAGGATGTGAGCCGGAAAGCCAGCGAGGGTACTGCTGCGTCGGCGGAACGCGCTGCGCCAGTGGAGTCGCAGAAGGCGGCGGAAGGAGCAGCGGTGGCGGAGAGGAAAGCGGAAGATGCGCGTGCAGGTGCGGCGGCGGGGATTGAGGAGACGAAGGAGAAGGCGGTACAGGCGCGAGAGGAGGCGGGAAAGCAGGCGGAGGAAAGCGCGCAGGGAGTGAAGGAGATTGCGCAGGAGGCGCAGGCGGAGGCGCAAGCGGCGGGGGAGAAGGTGCAAGGGTCGTTCGACTCAATGGCTGAGCGCGCGCGCGGGGTGATGGAGCGCACGTTGGAAAGCATTCAGGAGACCGTCGAGGCCGCGCGCGAGCGGTCCGCACAGGCGGGGGAAACGGCGGAGCAGGCGGGCGAGACGGCGAAGGAGGCCGGGCGGGAGGCGTACGAGAAGGGGAAGGGGTTCGCAGCGGAGACAAAGGATGCGGCTGTGGTGAGCCTGGTGCCTTTTGTTTTTCTGTTATTTTTTATTCCCATATTTCCCTCTCCGTGTGCACAAAACTCGTGTTCGTGTCACACTGTCCTGGGGTTTTGACCCGTCAGTAAAGAGTGCGTGTTGATTCGAGATGCGTGTCCGTGCAAGGCGGTGCGTGAGTGAATTAGCGAGGCAGTATCTCGTGTTCACGTTCTTGCAGGAGAACCTCGAGGCGGCGGGCACCGTCACGGCGAGAGGGCTGGGCAAGGCGGTGGGTACGGTGGAAGGAGCAGCAGAAGCGGTTGGCGAGAGTGCGCAGAAAGGGTACGTGAACACACATTCTATTTCCCTTTGCTCCACAAAATCGGCTTTCCTCGTTTTCCGTTAGGTTTAACGATGGGTTCGCTTTCCTTCTGCTTCGTGGGCATCCCACCCCTTTTCACCTCTTTATCTCTTTTCACCTCTTTATCTCTTTTCACCTCTTTATCTCTTTTCACCTCTTTCATCTCATTTCCCCGCGCTTTAAAGAGTATCCGCTGCAGCTGAGCGGACGGCAGAGGGCATTGAGTCTGCGCAGGAGGGCGCGCGCGGCGCGTACGACCGCACGGCGGAGAACGTATCCGCGTCTGCAGCTGGCGCGCGCGACCGCACGGCAGAAACCATCGAGTCCGCGCAGGAGGGCATTGCATCCGCAGAGGAGGGCGCAAAGGACGCGTACAACCGCAGGGCGGAAAACATCTCTGCCTCCGCCGCTGGTGCGCGCGACACTGGCGCAGTCGCGACGGGCACCGTCGCAGGCGCGGTTGGGCAGATCTTCCACTCGTTTGCGGAGGCGCTAGGCGTCGCGGGGAAGCACGCCCCGCCGGAGGCGCCAGTGGGGGAGGTGCCTTCGGCGGAAGCGTCAGCGGCGCATCGCCCGCTTTCTGCGGACGTGAAAAGTGGCGGAGAGCGTTCCGTCCCCCATGCGCCTGACCGCGCGCCTGCCAGCCTCTCCGCGCGCACATCCGCGGAAGGAGGTGGCCAGCACGCGGGGGGAAGCGGGGCAGGCGGCGGAGGGGAAGCGGGGGAAGCGGAAAGGCACGCGGGGAAGGCAAGCTTTGGGGAGGAGGAGGGGGCAATAGAGCCGGGACTGGGCGGGGGTGTACGGTATCATCCTGAACCCAGCGCTGATCTCGGGGGGTCTGGTCTGAGTGCCATGTTTGCTGCTGGGAGCAAGGCGGATGTTCCACAGAACTACCCCCACGCTAGCCAGGAGACAGGCGAACAAGCGTCTAAACGAACTGCTGATGTTGGTGGTGGTGGTGAGAGTGGTTCCCGCGGTGCCGCAGAGGAATCTGGTCCTGGGCATGGTGGGGGTGATGGGACGGCGGCCACTGAGACAGCAGCAGGCAGGTCGGCAGTGAAATCGCCTTCATCAGATGAACGCGGCGTGTTTGGTGGAGGGGGTGTTCCTGGCGCCAAGAGCGTCCCGTGGGACCAGGTGAATGTGGGGGAAGGCGTGGATGAGAAAGGGGTGGACAGGAGGCAACAGGTGGAGATGCTTAAAGGGGGGGCGAGGGAGCTGCTCGGTAGAATCACAAAGGCTGTTATGGATAAGTCCGGGATTGAGACTGTGGAGCCAAAGAATCGAATTGCAAAGGAGAATACCATGGCGCCGAAAATTGCCGGCCAGAGGGAGGAGCTGGGGATTGGCGGGGTGGCAGGTGAGGGAGGAAAGGGAGGAGGAGAGGAAGGAGAGGGGATGGCGGGAGGGGAAGGGGGAAGGGGAGGTGAAGGGGGAGAAGGAGGAGGGGGGTGGGTGAGTGATTTGGTAAATCGGGCGCATATGGGAGATTTGGTGGAGCAGGCGAAGGTGAGGCGGCAGAGTGTGAAGCATGCTGGGGTGTTGGAATCAGTTGCAACTGCTGCCGAGCATGTGAAGGATGCTATGGTGGGGAGGAGGGCTGTGGGAGGAGGGGAAGGGGATGTGGAGAGTGCCAAGATGGCTGATTCGGAACTGGGGAGGCTGGTAAAGGAAGCACAGCTGAAGGAGCAGTAGGGAGAACTGTTTACAGTGGGCAGATCGGTGGTTGGCTGACAGGCAAAATGTGAAGCATGCGGGTGTGTTGTGAGCCAGTGGCTACTGCTGCTGAGCACGTGACGGATTCCATGGTGGGGAGGAGGGATGTGTGCTGGTTTTTTAGAATCTCAAAAACCAGGGGAGGGATGATGTGGAGAGAGCCAAGCCAACATGGCTGATCCTGAGCTGGGGTGGTTGGTGAAGGAAGCACAGCAGAAGGAGCAGCAGGGGTGGAGGAAGGCAAAGCAGCAGGAGCAGCCACTGACTGCTCAGCATGCTTCACACTTACATTACTCCATCCACACACTCACGCACCCCATCTGCCCACTGATACTGCTAGTGTGAAGCATGCTGAGCAGTCAGTGGCTGCTTCTGCTGCTGCTGCTGAGCATGTGAAGAACGATATGGTGGGGAGGAGTGTGGGAGGAGGGGAGGCGGATGTGAAGAGAGCCAAGAGGAATAATCCTGCGCTTGGGAAAGTGGTGAAGGAAGCTATGCGGAAGGAGCAGCATGGATGAGGTGCAGCTACTGTTGGAAACAGTGTGCGGGAAGGGGAAGGATGATATGTTACTGTGTTTGATTTGTTGTGTAATGTACTGTATATAATGTACATAATTTCTTTCTGATATTATTTCCTACTCTAGCTTCACTGTATCTGTGTGTAAGGAATTTTCTCGGCATTCCTTACGGGGCCGACTACATCGCGTACAGCAACAGCCGATTGTTCGCCCGTTACTGCTAACGAAACTTCGCCGACTTCGCGCGCACTGTTTTGCCAAACCTCGCACTGCTGGCATGGCCGTATCGGCCTACGCTTCGGGACTAGCCCGAGCCTCGCTCCAGCGTAGCACTAGCAAGCTCGCACGCACCGCGTTACCGTTTGCATGTTTCGCGTATAAATGTTCGCTCATGCCTTCGCTCACATTTTGTACTCGTTTGACACCTTAGTGCAATTCTCGCTACCTCGATTCATTGCACCCGTAACACTTGGTTATCAGAGCCCCTTTCTTTCGGACCGCGCATCTCCGCACACCAGGAAATCAACTTTTGATTTTTCACTCGAAGGGACTCACGCACCTTAGCCCCTGGGAGCCGCTGTCCTCGCGTTCTCTCGTAAACGCGTGCAGCCACGACTGCGCCTAGACTAAGACGAGCCGACGCCCTTCGTCATGGCTGAAAATATCGACGTCACCACCCTCACGCAGGAGCGTTTGAACGATCTGCTGCGACAGCTGCACGAAAGCTCCGAGGAAATCGCGGCATTAACGGCAGAACGCTCATCGCTGCAAAATGACCTCATGAAGGCACAACAAGCACAATCTCAAGCACCTGGCACTCCGATTCAACCTGCACCCTCAACATCACAACACGGGAGTGTGGGGCAACCCGCGAGCGCGGCCAGTGAGGGCGTCGTCCGCCCCGACGGAGACGACGACCACGGCACGACACACCCCAGAGCGACGCATGCGGCCCCAAGTCAGCCTCGCGTCACGATTTCGGCACCAACCCACGATTCGGGACTGCCGTCACCGATGCCGCTGAAGCCGCAGCGCCCGCCATGCTTTGACCCGAGTCAACGGGGTGGTCCTACCGTTCAGGCGTGGTTGTTCACAATGAATGTCTTCTTCGACGCCAACTACGTCTCGGAGGACTCGGCGAAGATTCGATACGCCGTGTCGTTGCTGCGAGGACCCGCCATGGACTGGTGGCGCGTCATCGTCACGAAGCCGACCGACTACGCGACACTACCGACACGGGAAGGACAAACCGGACCCTGGGCGCCGTCGTATTTCGTGGAGGTGCCCCAGTATCGCACGTGGGACGCGTGGTGCGCAGGTCTGCGCGCTCGATTTGAGCCAATCGCAGCCTCGATCTCGGCGCGACAGAAGCTCCGCACTTGGCGCCAACTCGGTTCCGTCCAGGATTACACGAGCGGATTTCTGGAGCTATGCGAGCAGGTGGGCTACATGCATGAGAGCGAACGCATCGACCGCTACATCGGCGGCCTGAAGCAGGACATCGCTCAGGAAATCCAGCTTCGCGGCGTCACTGAGTTTCAGGAAATTCTCGCTATGGCGGAGAAGCTCGACTTCTTTCGCCGACCGAGACCGGGGTCCTACGGAAACAACACCTGGGGACATCGGCCTCGTGGGACGAACGAGAGCGCCACGATACGCGCCGTCGCCGCAAATGCCGCTGCCGCACCGTTCAAAGGGCGCTGCTTTGCGTGCAATCGGCCGGGACATCGCAAGAGCGAATGCCCGGAAAACGCTAAGGGAAAGGGGGAAGCTGAGCAGCAGACACAGACCAAGCAGCAGGGAAACGCTGGAAGTCAGTAGCAGACGGGCCCTCTACTGACAGGTCACGCCGCTCGCCCGACCCAACCGACCCTCACCGAGTGATTGTGCCGGTTCACGCAATCGACCACACCCGGCCGAATAAGGAGGGTACCACGGTAGACAGCCCTATACTGCTCAGTGGGAAAATGGGGACGGACTTAGTTAAAATCTTCGTAGACGGGGGAGCCAGCCACAGCCTCATTAACACTGCTACAGCACGAAAACTGCGACTGCCACTGGACAGATGCTTACCTGAGATCGACGCACGACTGGTAGACGGCACGCCGCTGGCGATACGGGAACGCGTAAACCGAGTTCGGATTCGATGCGGGGGTAACTTCACGTTTAGTCAGGAAATGCTTGCAACGACCCTCGACGGAACCGACATTTTACTCGGGCGTGATTGGCTGCGACGACACAATCCGCGAATTGACTGGACGACGGGTGACTGCACCGTGCGAGTAAACGGTAACAACATCGCCTTACCTCGCTGGGGCTCGCCTGAGTCTTCGTCGGTGCGTGTCAATGCGATCACGATGAAACGCGCTGTTGCGGCCGGAGCCGACGTGTACGCGGTTGACATTCGGGAAGCCGAGGCAGCAGACAAGGGGGGCGATTTACAGAAGCTGCTGACCGACGTACCGAGTGACCTGGCGGCACTGTTAAAACAGTACAGTGACATTTTCCCGGGCGACCTGCCGACGGGACTGTCACCTCAGCGACCGCACGATCACAGGATAGAACTGGAACCGGGGGCACAGCCAACAGTACAGCGACAGTTCAGACTGACCCAACCCGAACTAGACGAACTAAGGAAGCAGCTCGATTACCTGCTCGAGAAAAAATTCATTCGCCCTAGCTCGTCGCCCTTCGCCGCACCAATACTGTTCACACCGAAAAAGGACGGGGGGTTTCGGATGTGTATCGACTACAGGGCACTGAACAGGGTTACCATCAAATCCCGTTACCCCATCCCACGAGCCGACGAACTGATCGACCAACTGCGCACAGCCCGGGTTTTCTCGAAAATCGACCTCCGAGGAGGCTACCACCAAATCCGCGTCAACCCACCCGACTGCCCTAAAACCGCATTCCGAACACGCTACGGATCCTTCGAATACACCGTCATGCCATTCGGACTGACCAACGCCCCCGCCATTTTCCAAATGACCATGAACGAAGCATTCCGCCCACTTTTAGATAAGTGCGTCATCGTTTATCTGGACGACATACTGATTTACAGCCCTGACAGAGCACAGCACTTACAAGACATCGAAGCAGTTTTTAAAATCCTGAGTGAGAACCGCCTACTGACCAAAGCATCTAAGTGTGAGTTTTTACAGGACCGCCTGGAGTTTTTGGGACATGTTATTTCAGCTGCAGAAGTGGAAATAGACCCGAAGAAAATTGCGACGATTCAGGCTTGGCACGCGCCGACCAACTTGACCGAGTTGCAGAGTTTCCTGGGGTTCGTCAACTACGTGCGCCGGTTCGTCCCCGACATGGCGAAGCTGACTGCCCCGTTGACCAACCTGCTGAGGAAGGGGGTTGAGTACACGTGGAGGGAGAAAGAGCAAGCTGCCTTCTCGGCCCTCAAAAATATTTTGTGCTCCCCGCCCGTCCTTCACATTGCAGATCCCCACCGTCCGTTCGAGCTCGTCACCGACGCAAGTGATATCGCTGTGGGAGCAGTACTGTTGCAGGACTTCGGGAACGGCCTCCAGCCAATCGCGTACGAATCCCGCAAGTTACACCCGCCCGAACGCAACTACCCGATACACGACCGCGAAATGCTGGCGATCGTGCACGCGTTCAAAGTTTGGCGGTGTTACCTGACTGGCGCCGACGTGACAGTACGGACAGACCACCGTTCACTACAGTACCTTCGCGCCCAACCGAATCTCAACCCACGACAGATTCGCTGGTTGGACTATCTCGAGTCCAATTTTCACTACACCGTCACGTACAAAAAAGGAGCATCCAACATCGCCGACGCTCTCACCCGCCCCACCGCCCAACTCCACGCCATCCTACTCGCCCAGACCAACCCACTTTTAACTGGCCTATTCACCCACGGATACCGCACCGACCCATTTTTCACGACCGGAAATTCACAGCAACTAGCAGAAGCAAAAGGAGTCTATTACGTAAAAACAGGCACCAACCGCATTTGGGTACCCGCGTACTCACTACTGAGGGAGCTGCTACTGCAGGAGGCACACGACGGGATTACCTCGGGACATTTCGGGGTAGAAAAAACGCGACAGCAACTGCAGCGGTATTATTACTGGCCGGAGCTGTTGACCGACGTACAGCAGCACGTGGGCTCGTGCCCGACGTGTCAGGTGATGAAGAGTTCAAGGAAGCGGAAGGCGGGTCAATTGCAGCCGATCCCACCGCCCGAACGCGCCTGGCAGCAAGTAACCATGGACTTCGTCACAGGGTTACCTTCGAACCCTGGGGGTAACGACGCGGTGATGGTCGTCGTGGATAGGCTGACGAAGATGGCACACTTCGCTGCGTGCAAAAAGTCGATCTCAGCCGAGGAGACCGCTCGCCTGTTCATCGCAGCCGTTGTTCGCCTGCACGGGATACCAGCAGCAATTATCAGCGACAGGGACACGAAGTTTACCAGCAACTTCTGGAAGAACCTCTGGGAGCAGTTCGGGACCAGGCTACAGTTCAGTTCGTCGTACCACCCCGAGACCGACGGCCAAACGGAGCGGACGAATCAGACGATGGAGCAGTTGATTCGTGCCACGTGCGACGACCCCACGACCTGGGAGCAGCAGCTGCCGCTGATCGAGTTCGCGTACAACAACGCCACATCAGCCACGACGCAGCAGTCCCCGTTCTACCTGAACTATGGGCAAAACCCCACAGTGCCCATGACGCCGAGTCCGGACAACCCAACGCCACGTGCACAACAATTCGCCGAAGTCCTGCACGCTGCCCGCGCCAGAGCCGCCGAAGCAATAAAAAAGGCCAACGTCATCGCTAAGCGCAACGCTGATCGCCACCGCCGTCCTGTCACGTACCAATCTGGAGATTACGTGCTGCTTGACAAGCAAAATCTGCGACTGCCCGACGTACCAAAATTACGACCGCGCTACTGTGGACCATTCCAAATCAGTCACATGATCACACCCGTCACCGCGCACCTACTGTTGCCAACCGACTGGTACATCAGCCCTTCGTTCCACGTCAGCCTACTTCGCCCATACATCCCGACCACAAGTCAACTGCCGCGTCACCGGCCACAATCAATGACTCGCCCTGCATCAGAGCCGATCATCGAGCCCGACAAAATTCTGAGCCATCGGATCCGCCACCCCACGGGAATCAGGAGGATTGAATTCCTCGTTCGCTGGAAAGACCGCACGCCAACTGAAGATAGCTGGGTGCCCCTGAGCAACATCGAAAATCACCCTGCCCTGCAAGTGTACCTGAGGAGCCGGGGATTCCGCGATATACACGCACTCGCGTAGCGGAGGGGGCTTCTTAAGGGGGGGGGTAGTGTAAGGAATTTTCTCGGCATTCCTTACGGGGCCGACTACATCGCGTACAGCAACAGCCGATTGTTCGCCCGTTACTGCTAACGGAACTTCGCCGACTTCGCGCGCACTGTTTTGCCAAACCTCGCACTGCTGGCATGGCCGTATCGGCCTACGCTTCGGGACTAGCCCGAGCCTCGCTCCAGCGTAGCACTAGCAAGCTCGCACGCACCGCGTTACCGTTTGCATGTTTCGCGTATAAATGTTCGCTCATGCCTTCGCTCACATTTTGTACTCGTTTGACACCTTAGTGCAATTCTCGCTACCTCGATTCATTGCACCCGTAACACTGTGCAACATCCTCTTTACAAGCTGCTTGTTGCTGTAATGCTTCTCTAGCAGATGATTCAGCACGCTTCTGCATTCAAGTGAATGCTCCATGATGCTGGGGCAGCAACCCAGGAGTCTATAATCCGTCACCCTCGGCTATCCCTTCCGATCTGTCCCTTGAGACTCTTTCCCCTTACAAGCTGCCAGTCTTGCCACTCCGTAAGCCATGCTTTATCAGTTGATCCAAGTGTATTTACTGCTGCTGCTGCTACTGCTGCTTCCGCTTGCAAAGAAAATACTGATCTGAGTACCACTCAGCGATAGTGATTCTTCACCACTCAACCAAATCGTAAAGTTGCTGCTGCGTTCAAGGTGAGTACCCTTGACGTTGCTCTGGTTGGTGATAATCACAGTTCCTGCTGCTTGATGTGCTGCTTGCTGTGCTGCAACATCTGTTCCCCTCAATAGCAGTGTGCTCCTGCGCCACTCAGCCAGGCCTTTCATCTTCGTACTGCTTGCTGCCTTCCGGAGGTCACATGTTCTCTGATCGATGCTGCTTTGGCAGGTGGTGCGCTGCAGCGTTCAAGTGAGCACACTTGACCACCGTGCTGATTTTTCTTTCAATTGACCGAATGTCTACTCAGGAAAGGCAGCCGGCTTCTCTTGTTTTGAGTCGACTCGAAATTCTGCCCGGGGGACAAAACGGGCGCTGCATGCTGCACCATGCTCCCCTCCATTTGCATCCATGCTCCCCTCCATTTGCATCGGGTCAGAGGTCATCTCAGGAGAAAAAGCAGGAGCCAAACGGTGCACTGAGCCGCTCCTCCTTCCCCTCTCGCTCCCCCTTCTCCACCTCCCCCACCTCTCCCGCCTCCAGCACCCCCTCCCGCTCATCCTCCATCGCTTCACCCCTGCCATGTCCTGTGAAAGCACAGCACCCGGCGGCACCCCTTTCGCCTGTGTGAGACGAGCTGATTCCAGAGTTGGTGCAGCACCCCCACTTCCCTCTGCATGTCTCTGAACGTCACATGTGCCTCTCCGCCCCTCGCCAGAGTTCTCCCCCCACAGCACCCCTCCCTCCTCCTTTCTTCCCACGCGTCCCTCGCCCTGATGACCCGCGCTACGTTCCAACGTGCCACGCTCGGGCGGCGGCCGCCCAGCGGCGCGAACAAACATGTGGCAGCTTCTTTCTTCTGATTGGCCATCATGATGCCGCTGCCACTCCTGCCGTCCATGAGCAACACGTGTAAAAAGACAACTCGGACCCTCCTGCTGTCCCTCCTGCTGCCACTCCTGCTGCTCCTTCTGCCGCCCGCGGGCGGCACGCATGAGGGGCGGGCCGTACAGGATCTGCCACGTGCGGTGGGCGTCGAGGATCACCGCTCCCGCTTTCCGGGAAGCTTCTTCCTGCCAGCTGACGCGCAGTCCGCTTCCGCTACTGAAGCAGCAGCAGTGCTCGTTCGGGTCATCTCGAGAGGATGTACTCGCTGTGCTGCAGCCTGCTGACGTCACGTCAGTGCAGCAGCCTGGTGATACCTCGGTTGTGCAGCAGCCTGGTGACGTCAGCATCTCTCCGGGGAAGGGGGCTGTGAAGTGTGCTGCCTCGGCCCACCTATAAACAGCAGGGAGCAGCTTTCGGGAAACTTCCTCGAGTTTTCCTGCAAGGACAAGTTGGTCGTCTGCAGCTATCACGAGCAGCTTCCAGGAAACCTCCAAGCCAGAGTCAGCCTCACGCGGGTTCCACTCACCCATTTCCTCCTCCTCCTCACTAACTTCTCTCGCTGCTCCTCCCCTTCCGTCCCCCCTTCCCCCACGTCCCTCTCCTCCACCCGATATTCTCCCCCACCCTCTCCCCGCCCTTACCCCGGCGCCTCCCCCGCGCAGTCTGACGGGCAGCGCCAGCAGCGGAACAACGGAGTAAACCTCTCCGCACTGTCTCCGCCTGCCCCCCACCTCCACGGCTTCCAATGGCGCGTCGTCGAGAATCTCCGGGAACGGCTCCTTTAACCTACCGTTATCTACAAACCCGGAGTCCGCGCTATAGGGTTTCAGCTCCGCAGTCCGTCGCGGAAAGTCCGTTGGAATGACTCCGAGCACGCACGTCTGCGGGATAATCCCAAGGTTCCACGGACACGCTTGCGCGACTGACGCGGAAGGACACGCCTGCGCGACTGACGCGGAAGGACACGCCTGCGCGACTGACGCGGAAGGACACGCCTGCGCGAATGACGCGGAAGGACACGATCTGGACCTGGCGCCAGTTCGCTCGGCGGACGTGCGGTCGTGTGAGCACGCGCCGGACGCGCATCCTTCACGTGAGCGCGGGTCGGAAGGTGGGGAGGTGCAGACGAATGTGAATTCGGCGGTTGTCGTTGTTGATGACGTTGACGTTGACGGTGGTGAGCAGAACCCGCGGCTGCTTCCGAAGAGGGATGTGGTAGAGCTAGGAATGCGCGTTTCGCTAAACGAGCGTGGTAGCGAGGTTGATTTTAGCGAGAATGAAGCGGGCGACGCAATAGCCGGCGGATTGTTGCTAGTAGCAGTATTTGTGGCTGTAGGAGGTAAGGACGCGGACCGCAGTAGTGGAGTCCCAGCCACGCAATCGGAAGAAATCGGCACGTCGTGCCAGATCGATGCCACGTCATAGCCCGATCCGATCAACGCCGGCAGGCGGTTCCAGTTAGTGGGCGCCGCCGCTCCGGTGTCGGCAGCCAGCGGCGACGCTGCGAGACTAGGACTCGGAATGAGATATTCTCCTGGAGGCGCGCTCGAAGTACACTTCGAAATAGAACATGGCGGCTCGCTTGAATCAGGGCTTGGAGAGAAGTTTCTTCTGGTGTTTGTTGCTGATAATGCGGTGCAGACTGAGGTGGAATCACTAGTCTTGCTCGAAAAGCAACGCGTGTTGCTTGCTCCGCGCGATGCGCCATAAATTCTCGACGGACCGTGGAGAAGTTTCGATTTCCTGCCGTAGACTGTGCTGCTACTACTGCTGCTGCTGCTGCTGCTGCTGCTGCTGCCGCTGGAAGTGTTGCTGCACTTATCGTTTTTCCTGCCGCCATAGTTTCTGACGCTCCCAGAAGCAGTGGATACTATTCGCCACAGTATGGTGATTAGCGCCATTCGCGGGTGTCTGAAACCAGATTTCGAATCCCTCTCAGGACAGATTTTTTCTGAAATTTCCGTGTGCCGCGCATGTATCACCCCGTGTCACATTGTGCGGCATGGCGCAATGAGAAACTAGTAGCTATTGATCGGCGCTCGGCGGCGAGAGTCAGGTACGTTTTTTCGAGACGCGAGACATGAAGTATGCCAGGCCGCCCGCCAGCGTAAAAATTATTTTGCTTCATCTCCCGTTGCTTGCTGGCGGTAATAACGCGTGGCGCAAAGGTTCCACAGGTGAAGTGTCGGTGGAACTGGCACAACTCGAAAGCTAGGTTACTGGAGGTGAAAGTGGCAGTGAAGCAGCAAAAACAGAAACATTTGCAGCTTTCGTCAACAGAAATGTGAAGCAGCTTTCGCAGGCGAAGAGGTTGCTCACATTTGCCTGCTTTCAGAAACATTTTCCCGTCCAACTTTCCGTCAACGAATGCCTGTTTCATTTGCATGATGTGCTGGGAGCGGGCAGCTTGGATTTGCCAAGGACCGTTCTGATGCCAGGTAGGAGAAGCTGATGCTGCATGAAGCAAGCTGCTAAGGGAACATCCAAGTGTTGGGAGTTGGCGGACGGAAATGTGCGTCGCCATCGGGCCGCATCTCATCGTGGAATTCAGCCGAACCGCGAATTGCCTTCGCCACCAATGGCTGGCAAGCAACCAGGCCACCTACCGTGCTCTTGGGCCATCAATACAATAGCAGTCAGGTCAACTTGTACATGACATAGAAACACTATGGTTAAGATAGCTTAGTTAACTGTCAAAAACATGTTAGATATTTACACCAGATACATGCTGATGTCATACCGTACCTATCAACAAATCAGATGCCTCAATCAACGCCAGAAGCTGCTTTTCCCACCATTTCCTGTAACGGCTGCTGCAGCACCTCCAGTTCTCCCCCCAACTTTTTATGCCCTTCAACAATCACTAATAGCAGCAGCCGAACCAGCGGCGATCGCCGCTGATAGCAGAGTCTGGAGGCACTGACTCATCCATATACACAGAAATGCCAATCTCTTATGTCTTGAACATAGTCCTCCCCATTGCAACCGCTACAACCCATCTCCCCATCACCCCACTGTGACTCGTGGCTGCTACACCCAAAGCTGAACTTCTCACACCATCCCACTTAATAAAATCACCACGCATTCTCTCCCAAACCCTCACCCATCCTCAACCAACCAGTCACAGCACCACCGTCCACCCCTCGCACCATTCCCACACTCTCTCCATCATTCCTAGACACCAACAGGGTAGAAGACGAGTTAAATCCTTCTGGCCATCCACGCTCCCTCCCATTCCTTGATCGCAGCTCGCGTGGGCTTGGGGAAATGGACCGGGCCTGACTCAGCGTCCTGTTGTGATTTTGAGCGGTGGAGAGCGGTGCAAGGTTGCCAGTGGAGCGGTTCTGAGCGGTGGAGAGCGGTGCAAGGTTGTCACTGGAAAATGACTTTGGCACAGAGCGACCCGAGCGGGGGGTTGCAACGGTGCCACCCCCAGACGAGGGTTTAAAGCCAGAGAAAGCAGAGTCAGAAGCCCGGGGTGGGCGGGGCGAGAGGGGTGAGAGGGGTGAGAGGGGCGAGAGGGAAGAGCCGGGTGAGAGGGGCGGGAGGTACGGGTTGTGTGGGAGGCACACAGCATGAGGGCGGGAACTGGGAGAAGGAAGAGAGGAGCGATTGGCAGGAGAAGAAAGAGAGGCGGCAGCAGCGCTGCTGGCAGTGGTGCTCCCGTTGCTTGGTCGAGCAAGCACCTGCTGTGCTCTTGCCTGTGGTGAAAGCACCCGGGGATGGTGCACCTCTGGAAGCACTCCTGCTGTGCTTTCGACTGCTGTGACTGCTTGGGCTGCTACCGCTGCTAGGGGTGCTTTGCCGGCGACAGCAGTGAGCTGCCTGGACAGCCGCCACGGAGCATCCTTGGCAGCAATAACGGTGAAGCCTTTAGCGGATGGCATGCTCATCGACGGTCGGATCTTCTTCCCCTCGTTGCCCTTCCCTTGGCTGCCCTTCCCCTCGTTGCCCTTCCCTTGGCTGCCCTTCCCCTCGTTGCCCTTCCCTTGGCTGCCCTTCCCCTCGTTGCCCTTCCCTTGGCTGCCCTTCCCCTCACTGACCTTCCCTGTGCCCCCGCCCTGTGACTGAGTCTGCCTACTCGTGCTGCTGTGCGTTGCTGCAGCCTTCATCCGCCTTGTTTCTTCCCCTGCCTTGCCCATGATGTCACCGTTGCTGCTGCTCCTACTGCTGCTCTTGCCGCTGCTCTTGCTGCGGCTCTTACCACTGCTCCTGCTGCCTTTACTATTGCTCTCCTTGCCACCAGGACTGCTCTCCTTGGCCTCCTGACTCGAGAAGCTCCCACCACCAGCACCAGAGTCATTCCCAGAAGGGGTGTCACCAGAACAGTTGGCACAAGACAGGCTGTCACCAGGATTCGACAACCTGGCAGAAGAAGTAGCAGCAGCAACGGCACGAGCAACAGACTGTCTGGGAGCGACCAGGGCAGCAGCGGCAGCCGCTTCGGCAGCCGCCTCAGCAGCAGCGGAAGCCGCAGCGGCTGCAGCTGCTGCCTCTTTTGGTTGTGAATAGCACACAGCAGCAGCTGCAGCGGCGGCGGCAGCAGCAGCAGCAGCTGTTGAAGCAGACACAGCAGCAGCAACAGCCGAGAGTGCCGCTGCATATGCGTCATCAGGATCCACGTGGGATTCGCTTAGAGCCCTCATTAGCAGCTCACTGGCACTGACTTTCCTGTCATCCTTATAAACATCCTCGGTAGGAGCACTTGTGTCTGAATTGCTCCATCCATGGTAACTTGGCTTGGCAGAAGGTTTGGCAAGAGGCTCAGCACAAGGCTCGGGAAAGCGTTGAGGCTTGGCCCATTCCACTATGGACAGGTCTTGGCTGGATCCCCACCCGTCCCGAGCCGCACACCCCCTCACCCCGGGAAACTCCCGAGAAAAGTCCTTTCTCACCCTCTCTGCCTCTTCAGTGCTCTCTGCTTCGGCCGTCCGGGGCCGTTCGGGCTGAGAGCTGTGAGGGCGAGATAGTGTGCGGTTAGGAGCGGTGGGAGCATGGCGGGCGGTCTGGGGGGTGGGAGGCCAGTGAGCCTTGGGAGCCTCTCGGGCAGTCTGGGGAGTGGCAGGCCAGCTGGTCTTGGGCGCCTCGCGACAGCTGGCAAGCGCCAGGTCAGCGCTCTCGGAGAATTTGGACGGGATGATGATGCTGTACCGGAAACTCTTCTTGCCCACTGCGCCGCCCGCTACGCTGCTGCCGCCCGCTGAGGTGGCGCTGCCGTCTGCGCTGGTACTGTTATTGATACTGCTGCCCTCCTGCACCTTCTCCTCCACTTCCTCACCCTCCTCCTCCATTTCCTCCTCCTGCCCACCACCCACTTCCTTCTCCCCCTCCCCATCCACACACTCATGCCTCGTCTCTGCTCTCTCTCTGCCTGACCGCTGCTGCTCCTCCTCCAACCTTTCATCGCCTTGAGTTTGAGTCCCCTCCTCTTCCACTTCGCCTTTCTCCCCCACTTTCCCGACCGGTGCCGGAACTTTCAAACGCGGAAGCAAGCGGGCAATTGCTCGAACTTTCCCAGTCCTTTCCATCCATAAATTCCTCCCTATGCTCCTAGGCGTGTCCGTGTTAGTGTTAACTTTACCTCCGCTATTACTGCTGCTGTTACTGCCAACCATGCTACTATTAGTGCTATTTAGGCGGTTGCTGCTGCCTGGTAACTCCAGCCCTGAGCTCCTCCGTACAATATCACCGCTCATTAGAATCGCACTCCTATCGATCCCATATGCGTTTGCGTTTTCTTTAACAACAGAGTTCGTATAAATAGCAGCTGCTTCACTGTAGTCCCTTTTATTCATTGTTGTAACGGTATGCCTTCTCAGCAGCTCCATCGGCCTCGGGCTGTCCTCACCCTCGCTATTGTCACCATCACCACCGCCACCAGAACCCTCATCGCCGCCGCCGGAGCAGAATCCTTTTCCTTCCTTATTGTCACACAGATTGCCCAAACGACCACCACTGGTTTTGCCGAACCCCCCGCTCCTCCCCTCTCCCCCGTTTCTCTCCTCCCTCGCCCACCACCGCCCACTGATAGCACCACCACCCAACCTGTTGCCGTTATTTTTAGCACCGCGTTTCTGCACAATACATGACGATCCGATAGTGGCGCTTCGCCGTAGGTCCAAGAACATGGGCAGCGGCGCGTCTAGAATTTCGTTCAGTAGCGCCGCCGCAGCTTCTGACGTGGACGAATCCTCCTGCGACGTGCATGTCAAGGATGGGACGTTTCGGGTGGGGACAAGGGAAATGGTGCGGAAGCTGGCGCGTCCCACGCTGGCGGAAGCAGCGCTTGCTGAAGTCGCACTGGCGGAAGTTGCGCCGGCGAAAGTTGCGCTGGCGGGATATTTTAAGCCAGGGCGTGGAGACGGGAACACGGAGTGCGGGGAAAGACAGGGGGAAAGTTCGCCGGTGCTGCTCGGAGCGGCGTCGAACCGGCGCCAGCTGTCGCCACTAGTGCTGCCGCTGCTGCTGCAACTGCCGCTCTGTTCGCATGGTAACACAGGAGTTTCGCAGTTTTTCGCACAGCTGCCGCCGCTGCCGACGGTATAGCTCCGTTCGCCACCCCACGAACCGCGGCGATTATGGCCTCTGACGCTGCTACCGGAAACATTACGCGTCGCAGCACCACTCGAGGAAGCATTCACGTGAGCGACAGCCACTGCCGCAGCCGCCTCGAGACGGCAACGACACCCGTTATTAGGCTCGGTAATCGAAGCGGCGGAGGTGGCGGAAGTTGCGGAAAGCGCGCGCGACCTGCTACGAGCTACTTTTTCCGCTTCCTTCCCAAATCGAGGGATAAGTAGCCACACAGAGTTACCACCACTTCCCGCGTCGCCCTTTCGAAACACCTCCTCCTCAGAATCTTTCGCAGCTTTCCAAACTGGTTCGCTAAACTTCTCGTCTGCCTCGGCGGAAAAACCGCTGCTGGTAACAGAGCCGATATAGCCGAACCTTCTGCTTCTTAAGAGAGTTGGCTTTTGGGTTGTTGACTTTTGAGTCGACTCAAAATCCAACTCGGAAAAGCCGCTGCTGCTACTAATAGTGCCGGTAGAGCCGAGCCTTCCGCTTCTTAAACTGGTTGCGAAGCTTACCTTACGCTTGCTGCTGCTGCCTTTTGCGGCTGATTCGCTACTGAGCGTCGCGTTGTTGAAACAGTTGAGGATCTTATCTCGCTCTTGCCACGCTGGCAGCGCGTGCGCGTGCACGTGGCCTCTCCGTTGCAAGGTAGGCCGGCGGAGCGCGCTTCCGAGAACCTTCCACGTGTAGTGCGACTCGGTGATCACGGCGCGCGCCTTCTGAGCAGCTTCGTCCCACAAGCACGACACATCAGGAGATGAGAGAGGGTCGCGCGACGGGCTAGCAGGCGAAGGCTTTTTTTCTGCTTGGGGAACGGAAAAGGGCGAAGGAGAAAGGAAGAAGGGGAGAGGGGGAAGGAGGAAAGGTTAGGGGAAAGGGGAAGGGGAAGGGAAAGGGGAAGCTATGCGGACAAAGGGAACGGATTGGGCACAGGGAGTGGTCACACCGCCGTCGCCGTGAAGGCATCGCGACGTCAAGAGAGGAAGAATTGGCGGTCTCGCTGCTAGAAGTAGTACCATCATGTCCTTAACTTTGCCGCGAACTCCCTAAACTCTTGATAAGGGGGAAAAGGATATATATTGCTACAGTGTGGCCGAACGAACTCACCCCGTCTTGACGATTCCCTTTGCGGACGTGGCGGCGACGCGAAACCCGACTCGCGAACCCATCTCCGCACCATCGGCAGAAGCTTCCGCGAAACCACGTCCATCCGCCGGGCAGCAACCAACGGGTCATCGATCGCGATAACCACCAGTTTCCACGAAACTTCCGAGCGCGTCTCGTTGTGAAGCCGCACAGGCAGCGCGAGGAGCGGAAGCACCGGGTACGCCTCCCCGGGTTCGCGCTGCCGCGCGCCAACTTCTACCGCTTCGATCGGCGCGTTGTCGAAAATCACGGGGAAAGCCGAGTCGCCAGACTCGCGCGGCGATCCAGGACCTGCGGAAGCTGCTAACGGGGACGACGGCGGTGAGTCGTTGGCGTCTGTCGCGACATCTGACGGCTGAGAAGCGATGGGGGAGAGAACGCACGTCTGAGGCATGATTCCTAGATTCCATGGGCGCGGCGCGGAGTCGTCGGGGCTCAAAGAGCCGTCTAGGTCGAGCCGCTGGCAAGGCAAGGCGGGACGCGACGAGCGGGGAGAAAGCGAGTCGGGAGAAAGCGAACGGGGAGAGGTGGAAATCTGAGTTTCGCTCTTAAAATTTACTAGGCTGTTTTTCCGATTCGAACGAGCGCTCTGAGGGAAATGTCTTCCGCCGCGATTAGCGGCGTGATCCGCGCTGGCGGTTTTTGAGGAGGTGCAGACGAAGGTGAACGCAGAAAGTGACACGTAATTATCGTTCGCCACATACCTCCCCCCAAAATCGTGGCTCTCAGTTTCCGCGGCTGGTGATGGAAAGAGCAATTCGTTAGCACTAGCAGCTAGAAACGCGGAATCCTGCAAACGCGGAGAGGATGATTGCGACAATTGCGGCGGCGTGAGCAGCACGTCGTGCCAGATGGATGCCACGTGTCCGGCTTGGATTAGAGGAAGGAGGTTGCCAGTTGGTAGCTTCGGAAAGGCAGGTAAAATCATGCTGTCAATTGCTGCAGCGGCCGTTCCTGCCGCTGGTGGTAGTAGCGCCGAGTTCGAGGCGGAAAATAGGAAAGATGATTAGTACAAACACAAAATCTGAGGTCCACATTGGGTGGGAGAGAGAATGTCTGAGAGCTTGACTTGACGGTCTTCATTAGGTGACGGTTTCCTGTCCCTGTGTGGTGTGAAGTGGAGTGGACGTCGTCGTCAATCCGCAACTCATTTGCACAGGCAATGCAATTTGGAGTTCGTCATCTCGTCTCTCCTCGTCCTTCAAGAAAACTTCCTTGAATGACCTCATCGATGAGGACGCACAGCAGAGAGAGAAATTGTGTGTTTGAATCTCAAAATAGATGAGTACCGTGTATAATGTAAGCGGTTTTGAAAGACACTCTGTGTTACCATGGGATCAATTACGGTGAATTACATATTTTTCCATGAAGACTCACCAACACAATCCAATCCTGGGCACCAGCAAAGAGGAGTCCTCTGTCAGGATGGAGTCCAAAGTCGAGTCGCCTTTCAGGTACAGTAACCTTCTTCTCAAGAAAACGGGCAACCTCAGTGCACGCCTCACTTCTCGTTTTGAAACTCTCTTCCATTTCAGAGATGATTCCACATGCTTCTCCCGTATAGAGGTAGAGTATGAGATGAAAACTGTAGAGCCAGTCGGATCGGAACGGATGAGTAGCCCAGACTGAAAAAAGATTTCGCCTCGCGGGGATTCCCCTCCGCCTACACATCGCCACCCCACGACCGCGTGATTTTCTTCCTACACCGACCAAGCACGACACGACGGGAGATACAGCAGCACAGTGGACGCTGCTGGCGGCGACTGACTCCTTCCCACACTGGTCCCGCTAGCTGTGGGTCCACTCTTCCACGCGCGTTGATTGTATCGCGTACACACGATGCTCGTTTGACTAACCCAAGGTTGCTCTGTAAAGTAGGCTTTTACTAGTTTCTACTCTTTCGCAAAGTTCGTCAACGTCGCAACAAGCAAAAAAGGGCTTATAAAACATTTGAAACTCCTTGTTGACATTTTGACTTCAGTCTCTTCTGTTTGACTTCGGTTTCTGTGGTTATTATTGGCTCATAAACACTGCAGCTTGCTCGAGGGGCTTGTGATGTAGGTGCAACTTTCCGGTAAAAAAAACACGTGTGCAGACTATCCATCCGAGGCAGGGCAAATTCGCGCGCAGGGGCTGAGCATCTTACACAATCAGCATTTGGTCGGCGGCATTGCTCTGCATCACTTTACTGTGTCCAGTGTACAGTGCTGTCTGACTCTAGTCTGATCGAGGTCAAGGGGTGGCGTGGTGTGGCAGGGCAACGTGGCAAGGCGAGTGGGTGAGATACGCTTGAAGGTGGCGATGCCCGTGAACCAGTGAGTGCTCTTTAGGGCGACGTCAGGTGGGAAATTATCAAACTGGGGCCGTACAGTGCCAGAGAGGCGTCCAAACTGGGGCCGGGAGGTCCGGAACTGACCAAACCCCTGCGCGAGGAGTGATTGACAGAGAGGCTCGTTACGGCTTGCATTTGTTTTTTCCACCTGGTAGCGTCGTTTGGCGAGCCAGGTAGCGCTACTGGCTGTACCGACGCTACCCGGGAAATGTTAAGGCAACCAAAAAAAAAAACTAAAACCATTAGGGAACCTGGACGCATTATCGGGATGGATCAACCCTAAACACGGAAACCCGTCAGGTGTTTAGGGTTGATGCCTCCCGTGTCGCATCTGTTTCCGAACGGGATTTTTTTACGTTAGCTAAAGTGACGATTTTTATGGAAACAAATATGCATTTCTGTTTTTTAAAAATACATATAAACATGACGAAACCTACTTCAAGAGAAAAGCGACGCAGGCTTCATGTTCGGCAGCGATTATAACCTATAAACTCAAGTAATTTCATTTAAATCTTGCTTCAAATTTTCGGCCCAACCACGTAAGCAGCCTTAGGTATATATCCAATCGTTAGAATTAACCCACCTAATTCGGTCATTTCCCTGCTATTGTTTGGCCCATATTTGATCTTTTCCCATATCAGGTTATACAATTTTCTCACATACACAATTATTGCAACGTGGCTCAGGACGGTTCCACACGGTGTAAAGCGGTTTTTAAGCATCGTCGTTTTGCACCGCGAAGAAACTAAGTTGATCGTAGAGGGCGTATCAAAAGTAAAATTAGTACAACCTGACGTCACCCTTAGGGGGCAAGTACATACTGGTGTTACAGGTGCAATGGAACGGGATAGTTGTGAGAATAGTAAGCAAAGCTAGGAGCCATAGCTAGGGTTTAGCTAGCTAGGCAAGAGAGAAATGAAGAAAGGAGGGGTTTCACTAGCAGCAGTTGGGATACATATAGCAAACACTAACACGATTGTACTCGCTATAGAGCACCCCACTACAGGCTAGATAATAACATTCTGACACACCCCCATAGCCAAAGTGGGGTGTAATCAGCAGAGCATACAGTCATAGAGCAGGTTCACAATGGCAAGCAAAGCTAGAGGCTATCACAGAGGGCTAGTTCTCACGCATATATGCTATAGTCTGTGTAGGTTGTAGTGGGGCAGTTCATATGGGGTACAACACTTTAGGGTTTGCTACTTGTACTCCTCTTTCTGCTCAATGCATTCATTCCTCGTTTCTTATCATGGTATCGAGCAGGTTCCCTACTGGGAACACTACCTAGGGCCCAACACGATTTTTTTTTTCCTGCCCGGAGCGCGCTTCACTCCTGCCCGAGTCGCGCTCTGTGTGCCCTCCCTATCTTCGCGCCGCCCTTAGTGGCCCCTCTCACGACCCCTTATGCCACCCTTCCGGCCTCTCGCGCCGCCCTCTACGGCCCCTCGCGCCGCCCTTACGGCCCCTTAGGCCCCTCGCGCTGCCTTTACGGCCCCTTACGGCCCTCGCGCGGCCCCCTTTCGGCCCCTCGCGGCGCCCTTTCCGGCCCCTTACGGCCCCGTCGCCGCCCCGTTTAGGCCCCTTGCGGACCCTCTTCGGCCCCGTCTAGGCCCCTTGCGGACCCTCTGCGGCCCCGTCTAGGCCCCTTGCGGCCCCTCTGCGGCCCCTCTGCGACCCCATCGCCGCCACTTGCGGCCCCGTCGCCGCCACCTGCGGCCCCGTAGCCGTCAGCTGCGGCCCCGTCGCCGCCACCTGCGGCCCCGTCGCCGCCACCTGCGGCCCCATCGCCCCCACCTGCGGCCCCGTCGCCGCCACCTGCGCCCCCGTCGCTGCCACATGCGGCCATGCAGCCGCCACCTGCGGCCCCGCCGCCATCTGCGGCCCCGTCGCCGCCACCTGCGGCCTCGTCGCCGCCACCTGCGGCCCGGTCGCCGTCACCTGCGGCCCCGTCGCCCTCCCCTAGCAGCCACGTCGCCGCCTCTACCGGCCCTGTCACCGCTCAGCCGCCGAGCAGCCCAGCAACCGAGCCGCCCACCAGCCGAGCCGCCCACCAGCCGAGCCGCCCAGCAGCCAAGCCGCCCACCTGCCGAGCAGCCGAGCCCCCCAGCAGCCGAGCCGCCCAGCAGCCGAGCCGCCCAGCAGCCGAGCCGCCCAGCAGCCGTGCCGCCCTGCCGCCGAGCCGCCGAGCCGCCCTACTGTCGAGCCTCTGCTGTTCCTACCGGTGCGCCCCGGCCCTCCTTCCTCGGACTGGTGAGCTCACTCCCTACTAGGCCACTGCAGTCATGGCTACCCCCAGTGTTATTACATTTGACACTGAGGGCCGTGCTGTTGACTTTGAGGTCTGGGTCGATGACCTCCAGCTGTTCCTCCAGTGCGATAGGGCAGACGGCCTCTCTTTGTTCGACCTCACCTCTGGTGCCTCCCCTGCCCCGCCTGCTACTGCTGACAGTACTGTTCGCTCACAGTGGGCGACACGCGATGCTGCTGCCCGTCTTGCTGTGCGTCGCCACTTACCGACCACTGAGCGTGCACACTTTAGCCAGTACAAGAGTGCTCAGACCTTGTACGACGCTTTAGTTGCACGCTACTCTTCCCCTGCGACTGCTGCACTGAGCCGCCTCATGCTACCGTACCTCTTCCCTGACCTTGCTGCCTTTCCCACAATCGCTGACCTCATTACGCACCTCCGCACTAGTGACACTCGTTACCGCGCTGCGCTTCCTGCTGAGTTCTGCGACAAGACCCCCCCCTCCCATGTACATCACCCTCTACTACATAGTCACCCAGCTCTCTGACTCTCTCCGCGTAGTCAGGGACCACTTCCTCTCAGTTTGCCCCACCACTCTCACCGTTGACCTCCTCGAGAAGGGCCTCCTAGCAGCAGAGAAGAGCATGGTCGCTGTAGGAGCTTCTCGTGGTGACCCTTGCACCCCCGTCTTTGAGGGGTGTTCCCCCTCCCCCCTCTTGCCCTCTGTTGCTTCTGTTGCTGCGGCCGACCTCGTTGGTTTCGAGTCAGTCGGCGCTGCATCTGCCCCTAGCGGGAGACGCCGCACCGGCAA